GAGAGAAGAAGAACAACTGATCATTTGGATGTCACGTAAGCGTTTTTAGATCACCGCTCATTCTGTGTTCATTTGTATGCAATGTGAAGCTACGGGCTAAACTAAAGTGTGCTAAACATTAGTCTGCTACACAACATGCAGGAACACAGGCGACTGCGGCTCGAACAGAGGATACGTTTGTCTGCTTCAGTGTAGCAGAGGTGTCTGTTTTTGGTTTCATGCTGGTGCTCGAGGGCGACATCTACTGGATCAAAAAGTAGTTTTTATTGACTTCCCTCAGCAATTAAGTCAAATTCTCGAGCTTCATAATATCTACATTATATTTCTAAAACATTCTCTGTCAAAGGTGCGCTACCTAATAAACCTCACCAAAACATATATAATCTAGAAATATAAATACTGCAGATTCTGGTGGATCTTTTGACTGATTCACTGCTTGGAGAAAACAATCGAGGCAGACCTTTGCTAAACGTACCATCATAGCAGACGAAGGGTTTTGTTTCATCACAGGCAGCAGAGTCCCATTTTCCTTCTCCCTTTAACACAGTTGCACATTCCTTGTTGACTCCATCCTTCTGCAAACCCAGATTCCAGTGTCGGAAAGATGAGATGCTCCCATCCGACCAACTCCAGGTGTCTCTGAACAGGCCGATCCAACTTTCAGTGTTGTCAGCTAAATGAGCTAGTTGATCTAGTCCACTGACCAGGTCTGTGTAATTTTCTCTGCAGTAATTCTGAGCCTGTGTCCAGTTCATCAACTCTTTGATGTAAATGAAGCTTTTTGGGGATTCCTCCGTTCCTGTAGATGTTCATAGGAAACATAATTTCAGATACATGAGTATTACTTGACTCTGGGTTCAGATGTTGCCTTAATTAAAGTATATTGTAAAAATAATGTATGTATAACTTTCTTACCATTGAAGCATATAAATTTATTGTTTTTATCACAGGTGGCATCGTTTAATCTTTTAATACGAATCTGCACACAGTTCTCAAGAATATTATTGTGATCATTTGGCTCTTTATTATGAAAGTAAGTCTCAAGATCGCTTAACGCCACCCCTTGCGTCCCTGGCAAAGACCAGTGCCACCTCCTGTTGGCTTGTCCTGGGTTGCTCTGAAGCCCGATCCACGCTTCCTGTGTATTCACAATCTCACGGAGTCTCTTCATGTCTGTCATGTCAGACACTGTAGCCAGGTCTGTGTATTTCTCTTTGCAATATCTCTGAGCTTCATCCCAGGTCTTTGCCTCCTCAATGAGGTGGTACTCAATGTGGTGACAAGTGACGAGGAAACACTGACCTGAAACAAGAAAAGTAACACTCAGCACGTCATATTGTGACAACTTGGGGCCACTTAGCAGAGTGTGAATGCCAGCTGTGGTTTCTTTCTCTATGCCAGCTGTGTTATGAGTCCAGATCAAGAAAGAATGTTACTCATTAATACGGCAGAAATCAAGTATGTAAATGTATCTGTGAGTCTGGAGTGAGTATCGCCGGCTGCCGTGTTTATATCATGTTTACATGGAGCGGACGGTCAACTCCTCCCCTTGTGTATAAAAGCTGTTTAAGTCAAGGACTAGAGAGAAGAAGAACAAACTGATCATTTGGATGTCACGTCAGCGTTTTTAGATCACGCTCATTCTGTGTTCATTTGTATGCAATGTGAAGCTACGGGCTAACTAAAGTGTGCTAACATTAGCCTGCTAACACAACAATGCAGGACACAGGCGACTGCGGCTCGAACAGAGGATACGTTTGTCTGCTTCAGTGTAGCAGAGGTGTCTGTTTTTGGTTTCATGCTGGTGCTCGAGGGCGACATCTACTGGATCAAAAAGTCGCACAGTCTTCCTTTAAGTTTAAGTGACTTTTGAGAGAGTTTTTGAAACTTAACCTACATGCAGCAGTAAAAGTAGCAGAACTATAAAGCAGGTGAAATGATCACTTACCCATCACAGTGAGCAGAAATAAGCTGCTCTGCATCTTCGGCCTGATTGTTGAAACTGATTATTAAGGCTGCTGTGAACACAAACACAGGTATAGAAAAAAAAAAACTGCACCAGTCCCTCCTGAATGCAAAGTTCAGTGCAATGAGGAAGATACATGTATGCAAAACATAGCCAAATCATAGACTTTATACAAACCTCTTCTCAAGTCTCCAAAAGTCGAAACACATTTTCTGCTTTACACACATTTTGTAATTCAAAATGGCACTTTTTAAATGCACTGAACACGGTTCTCTGCATAAGACACAACAATCTGACATAAAGTCACATGTTTGCCATCTCAAAACACTGCCATTCAAAATGATACTACATGAGCTAATTGGCCAATATATGTGCCACCTGGCCAAACACCTGAATGGTTACAGTTTTTTCCAATTGCTAAAACACAATTTTGCCCACTAGGCTGGTTTTATCAAAATACTTCACAAAACCACACACACCCAAACTTCAAAATACCTCATATATCCTGCAAAATGAAGCACTCCAACCAAAACTACATATAGCATTATCAAATCAAACTTTTGCACCAAATGGCACACACTTCATTCATATTACCAGATTTTTGTCTAACCAACTACACACTGTTGGGCATAATGAAAAGCACTCTTATCTTTAGCATGCTTTGCCATAATACTAAAATAGTTCGAATTGTAGAAAATTCTTCAGATTGTTCACATGCACAGAAATATTTGCAGATACACACACATGCTGTTGAAACATTTATTTTTTATTTTTCACCAAACAAGTCGGTGCTACTTATACCAGTACAGTAAAACGGCTCAAGTTGGGCTCGCATTGTCAGCCCATGATGACATGATCAGCTAAGGTTGCTCTGATTTCATTTTTCATCATTCTGACTACTTTTGCCATGAACTCCTCTACCAGCTCTACCCCTACCTCTCACTCTTCCTCTACCAGCTCTGCCCCTACCTCTCACTCTTCCTCTACCAGCTCTGCCCCTACCTCTCACTCTTCCTCTACCAGCTCTACCCCTACCTCTCACTCTTCCTCTACCAGCTCTGCCCTACCTCTCACTCTTCCTCTACCAGCTCTGCCCCTACCTCTCACTCTTCCTCTACCAGCTCTGCCCCTACCTCTCACTCTTCCTCTACCAGCTCTGCCCTACCTCTCACTCTTCCTCTACCAGCTCTGCCCCTACCTCTCACTCTTCCTCCCCTCTCAAATGAAATGGCAAACATGTGACTTTATGTCAGATTGTTGTGTTTTATGCAGAGAACCGTGTTCAGTGCATTTAAAAAGTGCTATTTTGAATTGCAAAATGTGTGTAAAGCAGACAATGTGTTTAGACTTTAAGAGACTTTAGAAGAGGTTTTGCTCTCTGTGTGTCATTTTAAATAATTGTGCTATGCATGTCATTTTAGTGTGTTAGCAATTGGAAAAGACTGCAATAAAAGTCCTGGGGATATAGTGTACCTTAAAAAAGATGAAATCTGTCATAGCTCTGGCACAGTGTCATCACAAGCTGAACATCGTAAAGTCACCTTAGCAACGGTGGAATTTGTAGAAAGCAAACTCATTATAGTCATTTGTAAGGTAGAAATAGAATTCAACGTTTCATAAAGAGAAGTATTAATACATTATTTGAATTCTGGTGAATTCAAAAGTAATTCACAAAAATATCTTAAGGAGACTTTACACACTGTAAATAATGTAAATACTGTATACAAATAAAAACTTCAACATCAATCTAAACTTCACAAACTAAAAAGCAAACACAAAATGAACTTGCAGAAAAGACAACAAAGTTCAAACTCACTTCGTCTGATGTTTCTCTCTGACGTCTCTCCTCGATGTGCTGATGTGGGCTGCTCTCAATGGAACTAAAACCTGAGTGTCAGGGTTCAAATATTTCACTGCAAAAGTTTCAGCCTTCGTCACTGTCAGAGGGATGCATGGACATATAAGGAGAAGGCTACATCACTTTTCTAAAGAGGTGATTTGAATAATTCCAGAGAAAACAAATAGATGGACGTCAGACTGCTGGCTGTCCAACAAGCGTCCTCCAGAAAGCCGCTGCTTATGTTGGGAAATGAATGCAAAACATATTTTCTCGTCAAAACTTTGAGCTATTTCTTGAAGATTTGGGGGTTCAGCTTGTGTCCACTAACAGCGTTGTATTGCTCATCCAAACATTTAGTGTTGCTACTAGGTTCTGAAAATGTTCAATTGGCAGCTCCGCTGTGTCGTTAAAGCGGGGTACACACTACGAGATAATCAGGACGATTTAGGGTCTGATTCCCGCCTTCGGACCAAAGTCAGCAAAAACCAGATTATCTGATATGTGTGTGTGTGTGTGTGTGTGTGTGTGTGTGTGTGTGTGTGTGTGTGTGTGTGTGTGTGTGTGTGTGTGTGTGTGTGTGTGTGTGTGTGTGTGTGTGTGTGTGTGTGTGTGTATGTGTGTGTGTGTGTGTGTGTGTGTGTGTGTGTGTGTGTGTGTGTGTGTGTGTGTGTGTGTGTGTGTGTGTGTGTGTGTGTGTGTGTGTGTGTGTGTGTGTGTGTGTGTGTGTGTGTGTGTGTGTGTGTGTGTGTGTGTGTGTGTGTGTGTGTGTGTGTGTGTGTGTGTGTGTGTGTGTAGTGTATGTGTGTATGTGTGTGTGTGTGTGTGTGTGTGTGTGTGTGTGTGTGTGTTTGTGTGCCACCATATGAATAAAATACGGCGAGACATTTCCTCCGTGTGAAATCTAAAAGGTTTGTTCTGAATCAAAATGAAATGTAATCACAATAACAGAAAGAGAACGTGCTACCTTTTCTGATCTGCCCTCTGAAGTGATGAATGAACCCTGCTGTCAATGTTTTTACAAACTGTTACTCCTAAACTGTTCATTCTTTGACGCGTCCTTTTTTTTCCGTTTAAGAGACACTTTTTGTAATCAGGTCATGCAATGCATCATGGTTGGTGTTTAGGTTCTGTTTGTGCTCCATACCATGTGATCATGGCCTGCAACAAAAATGAAATGGAAATGTTGTTTAGAGACAGAAATGTAGATAAAAACAAAGATGTTCTACTTCAGTCTCCTTTCCTCTACATTATGCAAAATACTTCATCTTTTCATCAATAGAGCTTTTTGACAGCTATACAGGGATCTGAAACTTCCCTTTTTTCATATTTGAATGCTGACGCTGAGTTAGACAGAGAGGCTAGGTGAAGAAGACTAAAAGACCTATATGACATTCATCTGAGCACACACCCACATCCAATCCCCTCTCACCTGTTTCACCTCAGAACAATCTACTCACAGCAAGCCCCTCCCCTGCTCCTCACACCTGGTGTCACTCTTTTTCTCCTTCTTCTCTGTCCTCCAATGACTGTCATACACTCTCTACTGTCACAGACCACAGCACTGAATTCACTATCCCTGTACACGTCACCTGCAGACTGTCTCATCAACATCTGTCACCTGTCAATTACTGTAACCACTCCAATCTCACCAAGTACGCCTCCAACCTCTCCTTACAACCAACCTTTAATTGCACTTCAGCTAACTTTGGTCTTTTAAATATCAGATCACTTAATAATAAATCTTTTATCTGCCTTGATTTTATAAATCATAATAATCTTGACTTTTTTATTGTCACTGAGACCTGGTTGACTATGAGAGATTGCAGTCCTCTGATTGAAGCAACCCCCCCTGATTACACTCACCTTCATCGGAGGGGGGAGGGAGGGGGGGGGGGGTGCTGTTAGTCATAGAAAAGATTTTAAATGCACTCCAATTTTACACACTCATTTTAATGAGTTAATGCTGTGTTCATTTTAATCATCTACAGACCACCCAGACCTAACAATGTTTTTTTTGCAGACTTTTCAGAGTTTTTATCACATTTTATTTCTAAGTATGATAAATCCTTGTTTTAGGTGATTTTAACATACATGTCTGTTGCCCTCTCAGTCCCTCGCGGGTGATTTTATAGATATTCTAAAATCTTTTAACCTTACTCAGGCAATACAGGAACCCACTCACTCTAAGGGCCACACACTTGATCTTGTTGTATACAGCGGTCTCAGCCCGAACAACTTTGAGACAAAGGATATCTGTGTGTCAGACCACAAACTGGTTTTATTCAGAATGGTTTTATCTCAGCCACCTTTTATTAGCAAGGCACCTGTCCGCAGCAGGGTTTTTAACTCTACGTCTGCTAGCAAGTTTAAGGAGCTTTTTATTTCTGTCTCTTAACTACCAACATTTTAACACAGAGGAGCTGATCTCCTCTTTTAATCTCACCTGTCAAGCTGTGCTGGACTCTGTTGCTCCCTATAAAAACTAACAGAGCTCCACAGCCATGGCTAAACGAACTGACTCAGGATCTAAAAAGAGACTGCAGAAGGAAAGAACGAAAATGGAAAAAAAACAGGCTTGCATGTATTTTATGAAATATGGAGAGATACAATGAAACAATACCAAAAGGCAGTTAAAGACGCAAGAGCAGCATTTCATTCTAATCTGATTTTAGCCAATCATTCTAATCCCAGAATTTTATTTAAGGTTTTAGAATCAATCACCACCCCTCCCCTTCTTATTTTATTGATCCTTCTCAGGATCTATGTGAGAAGTTTTTAACTTAGTTTACCAATAAAGTCAAGGACATTAGGCAACAAATCATCCCCCCAGACCGTATTTTAGACACCAGCAGGGAACTTAACAGTTATTTAGCAGTTTTGAGCCGGTGTCCTTGACCTTTTCATCTGAAATTTTAACCCACATGTAATCAGCTACGTGCAGCCTTGATTTTATTCCCACAACGTTTCTCAAAGAGGTTTTTACCACAGTTGGACCCAGTATTTTATCCATTATTAATAGTTCCTTGGCGGAAGGTGTAGTCCCCTCTGCTTTTAAACGTGCTGTGGTCCAACCACTTTTAAAGAAACCCAACCTTGATCCCACTGATTTTAACAATTTTAGACCAATCTCAAAACTTCCATTTTCATCAAAAGTTTTAGAAAAGGTGGTTTCAACACAACTTTTATCTTTTATGACTGAAAATAACCTCTTTGAGAAATTCCAATCCGGTTTTAGAGCTTGTCACAGCACAGAGACTGCCCTCCTCAAGGTAACCAATGACCTTCTTTTAGCATTGTTGTGTTAGCATGCTAATGCTAGCGATCTTTATTATGCTCGTATCTTCACCCTGCATGTAAATTTACCTGAAATGATCGTGATCTAGAAACGCCGTTAAGCAGTGAGTACAGTATGTTATTCTTTTTTTCTCTAGTCCCTCAATTAAACAACTTTTATACGCGAGGGGAGGAGTCAGCCTGCCGTCCGGGCGATGTAAACAAACTGAAGCTAGGACTCTGAAAACTCTGAAAGCATCACAGACAGTGGGACTCGGGTGTTACACCCATTGTAGACAGTCATGACTCTCAGAGTTATTTTCAGAGGATATACTTGATTTCTATTATATTTAAGTGTGAAAAATCGCATATAAAGCCTTTAAAGACTTTTTATAGCCGATACCTGACAGTCACTTAATGCATTTTCTGACTCACAACAAAAAATGTTGGCTTGGAGAGGAAGAAATAAACCCAAATACAACCATTGTTGGAACCCAGGTTAAGAGTTGTTCAGGAATTGTGGAAGAAGATGGGGACTTAAGTTCAGAGGGCTTATAACGCATGTCCTGAATGCTTGCAGTTTGCAGAAGAGACTAGTAGGGTTTATTGCTATGGAGGACAAGATCTGACAGAAGTATAAATAAATAAATTAATGTATAAATGAATACTGGAATAAATAAATAAAAGACTGAATAAATAAATAAATAATTAAATGCGTGAATAAAAAAATTAAAACTGGTAAATAAATGGGACATAAATAATTAAATGTTAAATTAAATTAATGTAGAAATAAATAAATGTGGAAATAAATAAATGTAGAAATAAATTAATGTAGAAATAAATTAATGTGGAAATAAATAAATGTAGAAATAATTTAATGTAGAAATAAATAAATGTGGAAATAAATACATGTAGAAATAAATAAATGTGGAAATAAATAAATGTAGAAATAAATAAATGTGGAAATAAATAAATGTAGAAATAAATTTAAGACATTTAATTATTTAGGTCCCATTTATTTACCAGTTTTTATTTATCTATTCACGCATTTATTTATTGATTCTTTTATTTATTTATTCCAGTATTTATTTATTTATACTTCTGTCAGATCTCGTCCTCCATATTTTTCCAGGAACTGTTTTGTGGATGCTTTTTTTGCAATGCAGTGATGGCATGCCAGTGACCTCATACTCTGCGTCATCAAACTTTTGCTGTGGGCAGAATATGGTGTTCAGGAAATGCATCGCTTCAGTTCTAGCTGCAGAGGGCGGTCTTGCATTTCTGCACAAAGAAGGAAAGCACCTGCATGGATGTCCCCAGCTCAGACCTGTGGGGTGGTGCAGCTGGGACAGGTTATCTTAGGCCTGGCACACGCAAAAAAACAAAAAAAAACCTGAAGTGATTTTGAAAATGGGAGAGCGCCCACACATGATGACAAATCATGACAGATTTAAACAGTTCTGTTGTTATAGCGTGTTGAGAGTAACAAGATGACCAACTCAGCACACCACACACTAACCGATTCATTCACCAACAAACATGATGGGCAAGCTAAATGTGGCTATCTGTTAGCTGGTACATCCATTACAGTAAACACTTTGGTCCAACTCCTTTCCTTGTCCAGTCCCCTCCTCCGGATCTGCGGCGAATTTTAAAGTAACTTTCGATCTTCTTCTTCTGCTCTCCGTCCACGCTTGCACACTCGAAGAAGACGAGGAATTCGTAGAGACCCTCCATTTCGTAAACACTTGACTTTTGTTTTAAATAAACTGGG